GCGGGGTCAGGGCGGGAGGGAAGGGGGGTCAGGGCTCGGGGAAGCCGGGACCGGCCGGGAACGGGGCTGAGGCCCCCGTGACGCTGTCGGCCACCCTGGGCTCAGCAACCGTTCCCTGTCCACAGCCAGCAATCTAGCCCTTTTTGGAGAGCGGCTGGGCCTCCTTGGCCACAGCCCAAGTCCTGCCAGCCTGAACTTTCTCCGGGCTTTGAAGGTCATGTTAAAGTCTACCGCACAGCTCATGTTCATGCCCAGGGTCCTATCACGCTGGACAAGCACCCAGCTGTGGAAGGAGCACTTTGAGTCCTGGGACTACATCTTCCAGTATGGTGAGGGCCAGAGACCGGGCAAGCGCTGAATGCCAGGGACGCCAGGGTCCCCGGTTTCCTGTCACCACAGGCTGGGGGAGGGCTGAGGTCACCTCGGGGGCCTTTGTGGCCCCGAGAGGCTTGGCGGTGAGTCTGGGCCGGGCCGGTCCTGAGCAGTTGGCACGGGGCAGGCGGGCTGACGGGCAGGGGCATGAGGAGAAGTGCCCCGGCCCCTGTCTCTCCGTGCCCCACAGCCAACAATGCCATCCAGAAAATCTACCAGGAGCTGGCCCTCAGCCGCCCGGAGCACTACAGCGGCATCGTGGGGGAGCTGCTGACGCACGCGGACCTGAGCCTCGAGGCCATCTGGGCCAACTCCATCGAGCTCACCACCGGGAGCGTGGACACGGTCAGGACAGCAACCAGCCCTGCCCTAGGCCATGGAGCCTCCCGACCCCAGGCTGCGTGCCCCCCGTGCCTGTGTCTCCTTCAGGCTCCTGTTCTGAGCTGACAGAAGGCTCTGCCCTGGGGTGGGGGGCCCGGGAACTGACCCTCAAGGGAAGGGGTCTGCAGTTCCCCGAGTGGGATGCCACACTCTAGGCCCAGTGCAGGGTGGACGAGCCCAGAGACATGAGCAGCACAGACACCATTCAGTCGCCTGGGTCCTGGGAAGAGGGGAAGGGCCGCGATGCGGCTGGAGGGCTGCCCGCACCAGGAACCCTTCCCAGGCACAGAGTCCATTTGGCCCCAGGTCAGAGATGCTTTGGAGGTGACGGGCGGATGACAGAAAGGGGCGCGCAGGGCTCCAGCTTGTGCAAGAGAGAACAGATGGCATGTAGCCTGGGGGTGGGGGCAGGCCGCAGGGTGTGGAGTGCAGCCAGAGCCTCCTGGCCCTCCACCCCAGGTTCACGCACCAGCATCTGTGATGTCGTGCTCCGGGCCGGGCACCCGGGGCTCTGAGGAGAGGCACGGGCCTGCGGTGGAGAAACTCCCCAAATTTCCAGCCGACTCAGGGGCCGGGGCGGGCCGTCCGTGTTCCGACCACAAGGTCTGGGCTGACCTGCCTGCGGGTGTCCGGGCGACAATCCTACTGGGTGCCAACGGTTTAGGGCAGTAGAACCCACCCGCCCCCCATACGCACCCCTGAGAGGAAGGACCCCAGAGGAGGGTGAGAAGCAGGCCTCGAAGGGGCTGGAGAGGGCCTGATTCTTTACTGAGCCTGGGGACACCTTCCCTGAGGGAGTCAGGTGTTAGGTTTTAGATCCTGAGGTCCCAGATCCCTGGGATGAGCCCTCCGGGCGTCCACGTCACCGCGGATCTGAGGTGACCCACCCCCAAGGGAGGACCGTCTTCCGGGGTGGAGAGGCCCCGGGAGCTGAGGTGCGTGGCCTGGGCCAAGGTCTGAGCCCTGCACCCGTGGCTCCTGCAGACGGTCTACCCCGTGTTGATGACTCTCTTTGAGCTGGCTCGAAACCCTGAAGTGCAGCAGGCCCTACGCCAGGAGAGCCTGGGGGCCGAGGCCAGGATCTCGCAGGATCCCCAGAGCGCAACCTCGGAGCTGCCCCTGCTGCGGGCGGCCCTCAAGGAGACCTTGAGGTGGGTGTGGCAGGCCCCGGCTGCCGCCTCTGTCCTGGCCCCACTGTCTGGACAGCAGTGCTCAGGGAGCCTGCGGCCAGGTCCCGGGGCTGAGAAGCGGCTTTGCCCAAGATGCAACCCTGTACCTCGTCCCGTTCTCCCGAAAGGGTTAGGAGCTCTTCTCCCCCTGGGCTCCCACTTCAATGTCCCGGGCCCCATCCTCGGCCGTGTCCGCCATGTCCGGGGGCTGCTCCGGCTCAGGGAACTTTGTCTGACTCAGGAAGTGCAAGGAAGCAGCTCCTCGTGATCTAGGCTTCCCGGTGCCAGAGGCGACCCGGGAGGGTGGCTGGCAGCTCCCCCAGGCCGGCGCATCCTGGGATAGGAAGGTGGCCGAGGGGACGCGAGGGTCCCAGGGACAGCTGAGGACCCTGTCGGGTGCCCCCATCCACAGGCTGTACCCCGTGGGGATGTCTGTGGACCGAAAGGTGGCCTCGGACGTGGTGCTGCAGAACTACCACATCCCGGCAGGGGTGAGTGAGGCCCCACAGCCCCTCCAGCAGACGCCAAGCCCGCGTGACCTTCTCACTCCTGGGGCCACCGACCCCGCCCCTCCCCACCTCTCCGCAGACATTGGTCAAGGTGCAACTCTACTCCCTGGGTCGAAACCCCTCTGTGTTTGAGAGGCCCGAGTGCTACCATCCCCAGCGCTGGCTGGACAACAGGGGCTCTGGCACCAGATACCCCCACCTAGCCTTCGGCTTTGGTCTGCGCCAGTGCCTGGGGCGGCGCCTGGCAGAGACAGAGATGCTGCTGTTGCTGCACCACGTGAGCGGGCCTGGGTGGCCCGGGGGCGGAAGGGGATGCGACCGGGCGGGGCGGGGCCTGCGGGTGGGCGGGGCCTGGGGGTGCCGGGTGGCCTGCCTGGGGACCACAGGCCTCTCCTTCTCCTCCGCTGCGCCTGACCCGAAAGGTAGGGTCCAGAAAGGCGGGGGAAGGTGGACCAGGACATCGGGGTTGACATTTTGGCCAGGTGGAACCCGTGCCTCTGTCCTAGGTGCTGAAGAGCTTCCTGGTGGAGACGCTCAGGCAGGAGGATGTAAAGATGACCTACCAGTTCGTGTTCGTGCCCTCCACCCACCCCCTCCTCACCTTCCGGGCC